GATGGAGTTTTGCTCTTGTTGCTCAGGCTGGAGTGCAATGGTGTGGTCTCGGCTCACCGCAACCTTTGCCTCCCGAGTTCCAGTGATTCTCCTGCCTCAGCCTCCCGAGTAGCTGGGATTATAGGCAGTACACTGTGGGTGGGGAGTGTGGGCTGAAGCATGTTGGATGTGCTCTTTGGGGCAGAGGTTTGGGGGCTTCCTGATGAGGAAATGGGCCTGATCTAGTCCCTGAACCTCCCTAGGGCTTCCCCATGTGGGGGCCTGGGACTGAGAGGGTTGGCTCTTGGGTATGCTTTTAGAGACTGAAGGCCCACCCTGATCCCATTCATTCTTTTATTCATTCATTCATCCATTCATTTGTTCCACCAAACATTTATTCAGCACCTATTATGTGTCAGGGATTGTGCTTAACATTGTGACACCTAACAGTGAATAAGACAGACCATGCTTTCAAAAAGCTCATGGTCTTATGGTAGAGGCAAGTACATAAACTGTCACACAGTTTGGAAAGTGTTGTGTTGGCCAAAGAATAGGAAAGCGCCCACCCAGCCATAAGGTGACCGGTGTAAAGGCAGCCAGATGAACTCCATTGGTGGGTGGTGCCGCCAGCTCCCCAGATAATCTTGGGAATTTTAATCAAAGGCTGTACCTGATGGGAGGGAAGGACTATGAAATGCAGGGGGAAGATGAGCTTAAGTGTGGCCAGTATGGTCACCTCTAGATTCACAGAGGCTGAGGTCATGGCTGCAGCATGCACCCTGAGCCCTTCAGCTTTCCTGAGGCCCTTGGTGTCTCTCATCTTCTTTGAGACTTGCTTGACCCTGAGATCTGCAGCACAGCTGTTCCTATCCTAGGAGATGTTAATTTCCTCATGAAGAAATAAGGAAGGGTTCAGTGACTGCCAAGGGTTCAAACAACTGGCTGAAAAAGCAAACCAGGACCAGAATTCGACTTCTCCATACATCTACGTTCTGAGACTATAAAACTTCCCTGGGCATGTGCACTATTTCCCCTAAGATATTCTTTTGGACCTGTACCCTCCCTTCACTACCCATATCTGGAGGCCCAGTTGACTGCTGCCGGCCCACTTCAGACCATGGACAGTTACCCCAGCAATTTCCAGGTTGCCATAGGGAGCAATGGCAGAGGCAGGGTAGTGGAGTGGCGGCAGGGGACACTGGTTTTGGAGCCAGTTGGCTCTGTGTTAGGTTGTTTAATACTTATTAGCTGTGTGGCCTTGGGAAGCTTGCTTAACCAGTAGGAGCCTCAACTTCCTTCTTCTAAGTTGGAAATAGGAAGACCGTCTCGTGTGGGTGGCAGTGAGGATGAATGAAAGTTGAAATGTCTAGTCCAGGGCTTGGCGTTCGGTGCGTTGTTTCCCTTTCCAAACTTGCCCACGATCTCTTCCTTCTCATGTCTCAACCCAACATAGTTCTTTCCAGATATTTGTTGGTACTTATCCACCAAGTCTTTGCCAGCCTGTTTGGTACCTCTCTGTGAATTCTGTGCACCTGCTTTAGGTAGCACACTGCCTTAGCTGTGTGGTTTGGCGCGGTGCCTTTGTGCCAAGAAAAGGAGGTCCTTCTTTGGAGTGAGGATTTCAGCCTCCCCTCTTCCATATGGCCAGGTTTTTCTGGGCAGGAGAGATCTACTGGGCTTAGGTAGCAGCTCTGGAGCCTACTTGGCTGAGTCCCTGCCTCTACCAGCTAGGGTGCTCCAGCTGTGGGGTGCTGTGTCTGAATCAGGCACCTCGAGGAGCCAAACTAGGCTACCAGTTAACACTCTCTGCTAATGAGGAAATCAAAGTCTGACTGCAAAACACACCAGTCAGGGTTCTGCCCTTACACTACTGCTAAGGAAATACTCATCCTCACAGGCTGATATATTACCTAGCTTTCCACATTTGTGAGCAGTGGCTCTCAGGTATTCATGTGCTGGAGATGCAGACTCCTGGGCACCATTCCCAGAGCACCTGATTCAGTAGGTCTGGGAGGCCTGGGAATTTGCATCAACACAGGGTGGTGGATCATTCTGAGAAGAAGTTGCCCAGTGGTGAAGAATGTGAGTTTTGGAACCAGGCTGGGATCTAAAGCTTGGCTCTGACACTAATGAGCCGCAATTCTGGGCAAGTTTACAGATGGTTTCCTCATGGGGTTGTAAGTAAATGAGATAAACGTGTAAAGTACCTCCCACAGTGCCTGGTATATAGCAGGTTCTCAATGAATAAAGGTGGCCATGGTGGCATTGGTGGTAGTAGAAGTAGGGATTGATGTTGCTATTATAACATCTTCCTCCTTGAAGGGTTCTTCTGCCCCTGATCAGTAACAAATCATGAGGAGACAGAATATCAGACAGGGTAACTCTTTATGTTGAGGTTATCTGGGATCACCTTCATTTAAACAGATTGGATGGACCAGAAGGTCAGTGCTGAGAATCTTCAGGGCAAAGTCCAAACCTCTAGGAAGACATAGATCTCCGATTTGGACTTTCCCCAGAACACCGGCCTCAAAGGGGTACATGGACATGGCCTACTGGGACTCTCCCAGAAGGCCTTGCACCCCTGCCTCTGCCTTGTTTGGGGAGCAGGCTGTGCTTGCCTCTTTCCCTGGTTGGATGCCTACAGGCATATGTTGGCCTTCTTGTAGGAGAGAAGAGAATAAAACATGACAGTGAGCAAGGAGAGCCCCAGTGACAGAGCTCACCTTGCCAGCAAATGGCCAGGGGAGCTCTGAACTAAAAAGGACTATGGGGGAAGGTGTGTCCTATTTGATGCTAAAATGTACCATAAAGATTCAGTAATTCAAGCTGTGTATATAGGAACATGGATAAAGAAGCAGAATAGAAACCCAGAACACCCAAATGCATAGGTTTGAATTCAGTATTTGATAGAAGTGACTTATTGGCCAGGTTGTTCTGGACAGTGGAAATCTAATTTCTCCAAGTGCTAGAATAGAGTAAAGATGGACTTTAAAAACAGTATTGGGAGATCTGGAAAAAGATGAAAAGATATAAGTTGGGTCCATCCCTCTCATCATACATCAGGAAAAACTCCAAAGGAATCCAATTTTTAAATGAAATAATAGGAATCATAAAATTACCAGAAAAAAATACGGCCTAATTCCTTCATAACCTTCTGAATAAGAACCTCCCTCTGCGATTCAAAATTCAGAAGCTGTAAAAGGTTGTTAAATTAGACTACATTAAAGCAAACAAAAAACTTCTGTATGACCAACTAAATTTAAAAAAAAAAGGCCGGGCGCAGTGGCTCACGCTTGTAATCCCAGCTCTTTGGGAGGCGGAGGCGGGCGGATCATGAGGTCAGGAGATCGAGACTATCCTGGCTAACACAGTGAAACCCCGTCTCTACTAAAAATACAAAAAATTAGCCGGGCTTCGTGGCGGGTGCCTGTAGTCCCAGCTACTTGGGAGGCTGAGGCAGGAGAATGG